ATGGAACACTATGGCGATACGTACTGCTCCACTTGTGAAAGTAAAATCTGTTGGGCTCTTTTTGGCATCAAGACATTTATTCTTATTGCCACATCGCCAGACAGGACACTGTAAAAAAATATTCAAATATTAGCCATAAAAATTAATTTATAAAAAAAAAAAATTATTAATTAGGAAAGCTCCTCCAGAGGCTATTATGTAAAATAGCTTCCTCACTGACATAAGACAACTGAACTGTTGAGAAAACTCCTAATCATGGCACAGATTCTGCGTCACACTGATAACACCAAACCAAAACCCTGCATAATTGCACCATAAATATTTAAAGGAAAGGTCCGGTCAGCAAGGAATTATTAATGGATCATTAGCTATATCTAAAACTAATAGTGATTGCAATGAAAATTATTATTTTAAAAATGTGCCCAAATATAGTAGCCCCTCCCTCCTGCCATCTTCCAGCAGTGACGTCACGGTGCGGTAAGCCTAGCGCCATTCTCCCCGCTTTACAAGCTAAATCAATGGGAACTACTAGACACATCTGCAATCGACAACAATTATTGAAGATTTCCAGAGGACTTCACCATTGAAATTCACCAGAGCTATAGTGAAACAGACAATGCCCACGTGCATGGCAGCTGGATGCTGGAATACATCGGGTAAAAGTGAAAAAAAAAAGAGTTATTTCACCTTCGAGTTTCATCAAACTTCTGGCCTGAGAAAAAACCCGTAATATGTAGCCAACATTTGGACGAAGAATGTTTTCAAGATGACTTGGATAATAGCGCGTTGTGACAAACACCAGATACAGCACTGGGACTTGATCAACAGCCGATACCGCACCGTGACGTCACTAACCAGTAGGTGGCAGTAGTGTTCTTTGACAAACATGGATGCCTCCAGTAAAGCACATTCAAATGAAAATTACTCTTAATTAAAAACACTTAAATTTTCTTGAACAGTATCGAATAAATTCATATTTAAAATACTTGAATTCTGAATATAACCGGACTTCTCCTTTAATGCGTTTTTTTTTCCAACACTGTTTACATTTGATCACTGCTGCACTTTAAGAAATGGAAATGTCATAAAAGCTGAACAAAATAAAAGTTGTCTAAGTCTAAATGTCACTGCACAATGAAAGAAAGAAATAACACACACACAAAAAAAGAGAAAAGCCATCATAAAGGATGTCTTTATTATAAAGTCTAATAAGAAAAAACAAAACAAGCTAAGTCTTCCGTATTTGTTTGGATCTCATTATTTAGCAGATACATTGGAAACTTTATCATTTAACACCTGATGATCTTGCCCTAAAAATGCATAATTATTATATTTTGTTTAAAACACGCAAAGAAACAAAATAAATGACTATGCTTGAGTTTTCTCTTCGTGTTTCCTCACTAAGTTCGTTCTTGTTTATTTTTTTGAATCTTCAGGGCCCGTCTTCTTGCTGGCACATTAATATTCTTCTCAGAGCTTCAAGTCCTGATGGAGTTATATGCCTGTGGGGAAGGTGACAGTCCATGACTCAAGTACAACTCGCAGATATGTTACCTTATTTTTAACCTGCTACGTTTTTAAGATCATAATGCCAGGATTTCTATTTAGGTTCAGGCAGAAACACAGCTTTTAAATGACAATACTGTGGATATCTGGTGGTCATGCTTTCATGGTAAATCATGTTATATCTCAACAACCACTTGCTCCAGGAAACATATCTAACATATACAGGCACATAAAATCAAATCCTCCCCACGGGTGTCATCAGCAGATACCGCTGCATTCCTCACTTGCAATGAATATGGTTAAATGTGAAGTCTGATTATTAGCTATAAGAGGGTGGGGTAGTTCCACTTTTCCCTTTTTTCTGCTTCCAGACTATAGATGAAATGCATTTGCAGCAAATAGCAGAATAAACATTCCTAATGTTTTTTTTTAGTACCACAGTACTCTGAGTGCTGATGTATAAGGGTGTAAATGTGGATTTTGGCCTGATGTGTTTGTGTAGGTATGTATATATTTGTTTACATGTATGTATGTATGTATGTAGATATATATATATATTAGTGTTGCACCGATACCGATACCAGTATCGGACGGGGCCCCGATACTGCCCTAAAATGATGGTATCGGTATCGGCGAGTACCAACAAATAGGGCGCCGATACCATTTTGAGAGCCATACGTTTATTCAACTATTGTCACCTTCCTTTAAAAGGAAGGATACTGTACTTTAAGTTAAATTATGTTTAATTAGAGGAAGAGGGGGTATGAATAATACATTTTACTGCATCATACCCCTTTTCAGACAATTTAATCGATGTCATTTCTCTGGCTGCATATACTAACAGGCCTATCCGGTGGAGGGTTTTATTTCTATTCATATTAAGGTGAATTTACTAAGTTTGGTTGATGTTTACTAATCGTTTTTGCGTGCATTTGGTTGATTAATTTATTGTTGTTTGTCAATTTGTCCGAAAATTGTCTGAAACAAATTAATTCATTCATTCCGATTGAACAACAGTTTAATTTATGATTATTTTCATACAGTTTAGAGTGTGAAGAAAAACAACAACCCGGAAGTCTGATTTTATCAGGTTTACTCAATTATTGAATAAAGGTTCAAAACTTAAGAACGTAGATTTACATTTAAAATATTTTTTTTCATTACTGAAAGCAATGCATAGACCTATGAGGGCCTTACAGTCTTTTAAGGCAGAAAGAGCACATTTAAGAGGGAAAGAGCACATGTTAATGCAAAGACAGCTTTACTGAAGGTGCAACACATTCAGAGGGAACAGCTGTAGGTTTCTAGGTATTTCACGTGTTTTTTTAAACATATGTATAAAAGAAAAGTGCTGTGCAACAGAAAAATGCTGTAAAACCAGGATGTGGGCCACTCTCAACAACTCAACTGCAGCTCCCTCTTGTGGTTTAATGGTTGAATTGTTTTAAAACTCATTTAGTTTTAAATGCAGTTTAAAGCTGCAGCTATTAACTGCTCAGGAAGAAGATTCTGTAAACAGGAAAGCTATTAGATAAGCATTTCACAAATGTGGCCTTTATGGAAGAAAATAAGCCCAGCTGAAATAAAGTATTGTTAGGATAATTATCATTGATGATGTGTGAGTTTATTACACCTTAATATCAGCTGCCTGTTGGATGTCAGAACTGATGTTTTCCCCAATAGTTTATCTAATTAAGACAGTTCCTCTGTCCAGATACACAGTTACAATCTTCAATCTGTACGTGGCAAAGATTTGGAAATGGAATGAGAGCGGCGTCCTTCAGGTAAGAACAAAGTTTCATATTTTGATAAGGCTGGAGCCATGGATGTCTCTTTATCTGCAAATGTGTATGATGTAATGATGTGATGATGCGGCAGACTGGAGATGTATAAAATGCCTTTTTAACTGTTAATCGGGGCCACTTCCTGAGAGGTGAGCAGCTGCCTTCTGTAAACTCTAAGCAACTTCTCTGATCTGAGTAAGATTACAATTTATATCAAAATCTGTTGTCATGTCTCCTGGTTATTTAATACATATAAGTGTTATTTAAAGAGTTTCTCCTGAGTGATCTCTTTTCAGGAAAAAGAACCAGAGAGATAAAGCGTCAAGGTAACCTGACTGCTCCGCATATCCATCTGGAAACCTTCCGTTGAAGTAATTTTAGGAAGGGGCAAAAATACTGGTTAGCTGATTGGCCTATGTTGGTGATAGACGGGCCAAATAAACCAATCAGATCAACGAAGCATATGACGTACTAACAGAGCGCCGACGAAGAGGAGCCAATTGATAGATCAAACTCTTGCTGAAACCAGTCGGGAGAAGAGCAAAAACATCTTTTCCTCTGAGAAAAGCCTCCAGAGCAGTGTTTTGCTCTTCTTTCAGTGAAGAAATACTCTGTAATTCAGATAAAACTTGCTCGATAGCCACGCTAACGCTAGTTTCATCGGCTGAAGCCGCCATGTTCTTTAGACTGAACTGTCGCGCTTCTCGTTGCGTCACACCTCAACCCGCCTCAAAGCCAATGCTGATTGGACGTTCGTTTGGTGAACGGCTCCAAATTTTCTTTAACGGAGAGTCTCCAGATTGATCTGCGAGTGAAACCTTGAAAGCTCGCGAGATCAGGATGGTCTCACCAGGCTAGCGTCAAGGTGCATACACAGACTAAATCTTTAACAGTATGTTAAACAACGTAATTTGCAGTTCCCTACAATCCAGGAAGCAAGAAAGAAGGTTGTCCTATTGGGATGCAGTGTAGGGAAACTATTCAGACATGATGGGAAGATGAATATTTAATGCTGGAGAAAAATTCAGTTTGAGGCTAAAAAACACTGAAGACTGGATTGGAGATTCACCATGGAGCAGGACAACCATCCTAAACATAGAGCCGTAGCTACAACAGAATGGGTTGGCTCAATGCAGAATCATTTGTTAGAATGGCCTTGGACAAATTCCAGGCCCAGACAGATGTCCTCCATTAAATCTGGCTCAGCTTATCTATTTTACAAGGAATAAAGGGCAGAAGTTTCAGTCTGTATGTGTGGAATCGTGATTCATTTTCATCCCTTTTTTTTTTAAAGCTATCTGTCGGTTTATAATATAACATTTAAATGAAATATATATAAATGTGTAAGAAAATATGACAAACTAGATAAAGTCAGAGTGACAGGTTTAACAATCTTACTGTTTATTTCTTTTCTTTGCATTATGATTGACTGTGATAAACAGTAAAGAATGATTGGGATGAACAGAACCGCAGAACAAACTGCTCAGTAAAATCTCAGTAAGTAAACTGAAGTAAACTTTTCTTCTCCCTACCAGTTGTGCAGGCAGCATAAAGCCTAAGAATTAATGAAATCGTGCCCACCCCAATGCACAAACATCCTTAAGTAGATTATCCTGAAAAGACCTGTCGGGAGAAGACCTGTGGAGATGCATGGAGTCCTAGAAGTATCTAATCTGACCAGACTGCAGAGCAGCGGGCGACTGCTAACAAGGCTAACTGCTGATTAAGGTCAGTCAGCGATGCAGCACAGAGACGGGGTGACTAATAGATGTCAAACAGCGCCTCGACTGCAATCCATCAAACCCTTACACCAGTGCTCTTTGTTTAAATCAGGATGTTAGACGTGACTCTTAGAAACTGGCCTCCTCTTCTACGTGTAATAAACAATCTTTAGGGACGTATATAGAAAGCAAGCAGGACAACCGTCTGCCTCTGTACAGGTCTAGACCTGAACTTCCTGTCAGTCTGGACCAGGTTCATCTCACCAGTCATGTGACCTGGAAGCCAGACGAACCTCTAACTGTGCTCTCAGACAGAGAGAGAGGACTAAGCCAGAGCTACCAGACGGGGACACATTGTTTTTGTTTTGTGGAAAACCTGCAACAATCTCATCAGCTTTTTAATAACGGGTTTAAGATATGACAAGATCAAATTTATTCCCAAAGGAGAGGTAAGAACTAGGTTCTATGGAACCAACAGGGTTTATCCTTGCAAATACTTTGGTTATCACTCCAGCAATTTCATAAAATCCTGTTTGTGTGCTTGTTTCCAAGGTAGCAAAGCTTCTGAAGTTAATAATTGTGTTTGATCGTTACAGTCAATGTGAAAAAAAAAAGCAACCTTTGAGGACTTCTGACAAAGAAGCAAAGAAATGATCACATGGTGAGTCTCTAAGACCGAGAAGATTGAAATGATGCCTGATTTTGTAGATATTCTTTATCTGTTTAAATGTTAGAAACTGATGATCTATAGATCTGTCCCTGCAATGCTGTTTAAAGCACATTGTCCTCTGAGTGCTGTTGGCGGATTAAAGAATGGAAATGTTTATTTTTTTTTATTGGGAAAGAGAAGCAAAAAATGATGGATGGATAAATATTTTTGTAGGAATTATTTATGTAAATATGATGGCTGCATATACAGCCACACAGATGTGGTAACACATCATTTGATATTTAGTTTATTTTTCATATACGGTTTCATATAGGGAGTGATTTCATTATTTGGCATTTATTTACCAAATTAAGTGTGCACATTCTAGTTTAGCCTGTTCTGTTATGATTCTCTTAAATTTCAGTTGCTGGAAAAACACTGGAAAAAAAAACGAAATCTAGATAAGTCATTTTTTCTTAAAATAAGTGCATAATTTCTTGGATTGAGGAGATAAAAGAGATATTTTGCCAATGGAACAAGACAATTTACAATTAAAAAAAGAAAACACTATGATAATTGTCTTATTTCAAGTGCATTTTATCTAAATATCTCATTTTAAGAGTTAAAATACTCATTCCATTGGTAAACTATCTCATTTACCTACTCAAATTAAGGGTAAATATGCTTAATTTAAGACCTTTTTACTTATTTCTAGATCGTTTTTCCAGTATAGCCCACATATGTCAAAGTAAAGGCCCACAGACCGAATACGGCCCCCGAATTGTTTATCCATGGCCCCCCTGGATGATATGTAATTACTATTAGAACCGGTGTAGGTACCAGATTGACTCGGGCTGCCAGATCGACTCGGGGGCCTGCGCCTTTTGATGATGTCACAATACATAATTGTTTTAACGTTTGCACAATTGCGCAAAACATTTTGATTGGTCTGGACAGCTTACTAAAGTAATTATAGCGGGGTGTAGGTTTTATTCGAAAGCGGGATTGCGGTTTGTAAACGGACAATTTTACGAAGAAATTCTCCATGGTCCCTGCGCCTTCCGATGAAGTCACCAAATTCGCCATGGGCCTTGCGCCTCCCGATGACGTCACATTATGGCAACGCCACTCAAACAAACTACATTGAGCCCACGGTCTGCATTTGTAACGACAATAAATTCAGGAGAATGAAGCTAAAGGGATACAAAAAATAAACTTGTAATATTACAAAAACGAAAATACTACGAATACAAAGTATATTCAGAGATTAAAGTCCCTCTGATACTGTTTAAGTGACTGAGAAACTGCAGATTTGCCACATTTAAGATGGCGGACGCTCTGACGCATCTCAGCATAGGCAGATCCCGCCCAATGACGATTACCGTTTATTGGCTAAATAAAATAGATTTGTGACAAATAGAGACCGCGGGCACAATGTAGTTTGTTTGAGTGGAGTTGCCATATTGTTACGAGTGGCGTTGCCATATAGTGACGGGCGGAGTTGCCATATTATGACGTCATCAAAAGGCGCAGGCCCCCGAGTCAATCTGGCAGCCCGAGTCAATCTGGTACCTACACCGGCCCACAGGCCACGGCAGCTTGTGTGCGCTGCTGTGACTCTGCAGGCTACCATTGCATTGTGGGGAATGTAGTGTTAGTGTGGTTGTGTTGAAAGCACCAACAATAGATTCCCAGGGTAAAACATGATTGTGCTTTTCTGTTATTTTAAATTTGTTTTGGTTTTTGCCTCTTTAACAATCCAAGCTTGGCTGAAGTTGGTTGTCTAAGGAGGCAGAGTGCACTAACTTCGCTCCACACCTGCTGCGCGCAGGTGTCAGCAGAGACTGATTGAAGGCAGGTGGGATCCGATCGGGGCGCAGCGCTACTTACAAGCGCGTACCTCTGCCCTGACTGTGCCATCTGTTCACCTCCCGGTGTTTTGTGCCTGGCGTGCGGATCCCACCTGCCCCTCACGCGGCAGCGTGTCCATCTCCATCACCTCCAATGCGTCTCTATCACTCCTCCCTCCATCCAGGCTCCTTTTATTTTGGCTTCAATAATCCTCTGCTGACACCTGTAGTCTTTTTGATTCTTTGGTCCTTTTTCGTATTGCTCTGCTTTTTGTTTAATAAATTCCTTTTTTTGAAAACCTCTGGCTGAATTCACAAAATTTTTACATTTCTTTGTACAAGACGGGATTTTTCTTTGAAGGAAGTATTGTTTTGTCTCTGTGCCATAGTTTTGTTTTGTATTTTAGCAGTGATCGGTAGGATCATAGAGCAGCGGAGTAATGCATTTTTGCATTATAATGCATGCACTTTCATTTATGTATTTATCTTTAAGGAATAGTACACCCAAAACATGATTAGCCTTCATTTTCTACTCACCCCCATACTGAACAACACTCTGGAGTACTTTTTTGATATCTCAAATGCATCTGGAGATCTGGGAGGCTTCTTGCTGTCTGCTGACATTCAAATAATGGAGGTCTATGGCGCCCGAGGCAGAAAGGTCCATAAAAGTCCACAAAAAACGTGTCAATATTCCTCCATACTGCTCGTCCAATGTATTCCAAGTGTCCTGAATGGGTAGCGTCCATAATTTACTCGAAACGAAGTCATTTAGAATGTTTCTAGAGCCTAAACAGTAGTGTATAGGATTTCCTAAAAGCGCGCACCTGCGAGTTCACGACGCTACGGAAACCGCGGCAGACCAAACCAGATGAAAGTGTGCATTCAGCATTAAGCGTAGAAGAAGAAGTTCCGCTTTTCACCTGTTTATTTTCTGCCGTGAGCCAGGTGAGCACGAGGTTAGTCTCTCTCAGAGTTGGAAAAAGTTGTTGATTAGTGATTTTAGTCGTGAAATTAAGAAGACGCTGAATGCGCACTTTCATCTGGTTTGGTCTGCCGCGGTTTCCGTAGACTTGTGAACGCGCTTTTAGGAAATCCTATACACTACTGTTTATGCTCTAAAAACATTCTAAATGACTTCGTTTCGAGTAAATTCTGGACGCTACCCACTCAGGACACTTGGAATACATTGGACGAGCAGTATGGAGGAATATTGACACGTTTTTTGTGGACTTTTATGGACCTTTCTGCCTCGGGCGCCATAGACCTCCATTATTTGAATGTCAGCAGACAGCAAGAAGCCTCCCAGATCTCCAGATGCATTTGAGATATCAAAAAAGTACTCCAGAGTGTTGTTCAGCATGGGGGTGAGTAGAAAATGAAGGCTAATCATGTTTTGGGTGTACTATTCCTTTAATACGTTTATTAATATAAAAGTTAGATAATAGTAATATTTTGTTAAAAAAACAACAACAATGTGTTAGGTCTTGGTTCAATAGGCTAATTAATTTCAAAATGTTTTAATAAACATTTAACCAGTCTGGCCCTTGGCTAACTTTGACATCCCTGCTATGGTCCCTTAACAGAGGAAACAGCAGGTGGCTGAGGGGCTGAGTTAATTTGGACTATACCACATCAGTGCTATGGGGGGAAATGGGTTTTTCTTCATTTGGTTCGGTCAGGTTTGTGTATGTTTTCCCCCATGTGTTTCTTTTTTGAACTGATCAGCCACTATTTAAGTTTCTCTTTGTTTCAATAATGCAGGTCAGTTTGTTTGAGTTAGTTCTGTTACCGGTTATTTTGAGTAGTTTTTGTTTCTTTGGCTTCATTTTTGGATCCATTTTGTACTTTTTTTTCTTTTCTGGGTTAAATAAAAGAACTCTGTTTTTTTAAAATACACCTGTGCCTGACTGCTCTGTCCATCACAGTAAAACAGGTGTTTTTGTTAACAGTTTTTGTCCATTAACCACAGGAGGCTGAGTGGCATCAGTGGGCAGAGAGCTACAGCAATGAGGAGAGCAGCGACTCAGAGGATTTCATGTGTGGAATCCAGGTAAACAAAATGTTTCTGTGAAAATAAAATAAAGACAAACACTCAAGAATATTTAACAACTTGCAGATGGTGTCAGTTTAAAAAAAACATCTGGAAAAAGAGGCAGAGGCATTCGTTCATTGCACTTCTTAATTTTATTGGACAACTTTAAGGTCTTAAAATAAACACAAACCCCACTTTAAAGAATATGTGTTAGCTGTTAGGAAGTCACTGCAACGAAAAACTTCACCTAATCACGGTCCAAAAGTTTCAAAAAATATATATAAATTGGCTTTTATTACTACGCTCAAATGACAAATTATGCTCACAATTAGGTTAAAATCTCTCTGGAAGTATTTTCTATCAAAATGTATTAAGACATAATCACAGCTGTGCTGGAGTTAATTAGAGTCAATCAGGCCAGAAATCTGGGTGTAGTGATGGACTCAGACTTCAACTTTGAAAAACACATCAAACAGATCACTAAATCAGCCTACTATCACCTGAAGAACGTCTCAAGGATAAAAGATCTGATGTCTCAGGAAAATCTGGAAAAACTAGTCCATGCATTCATCTTCAGTCGGCTTGACTACTGTAACAGCGTCTTTACTGGTCTACCTTAAAAATCTGTTAAACAGCTGCAGCTCATTCAGAACTCTGCTGCTCGAGTTCTCACAAAGACCAGAAAAGTGGACCACATTAGTCCAGTTCTCAGGTCTTTACACTGGCTGCCGGTCCATCAGAGAATAGACTTTAAAGTTCTGTTGCTGGTCTATAAAGCTCTGCATGGTTTAGGCCCAAAATACATCAGTGACCTCTTGACCCAGTATGAACCTACTAGACCCCTCAGGTCATCCGGATCCGGCCTTTTATCAGTTCGCAGAGTCAGAACCAGACATGGAGAGGCTGCGTTCAGCTTCTATGCTCCACATGTCTGGAACAAACTCCCAGAAAATCTTAGATTAGCTGAAACACTTAGTTTATTTTAATCCAGGCTGAAGACCCACCTGTTCTCAGCTGCATTTACGTAGATTTTATTCAAAAGTTAAAATTCGCCCGTCTCTGTATTCTCTCTTTTTAATTTTAGATGTTTTTAATTTTGAATCACGCTTTTAATTGTTTTTAATTGTGTTCTTTCCCTTTTGCTTATAATGTTTTATGTAAAGCACTTTGAATTTTTCTGTACATGAAATATGCTATACAAATAAACTTGCCTCGCCTCAAACCAAGACTGAATCTTTCCTGCATTTTGCTCTAAAAGCATTTTCTGAATCATTTCAGGATTTAAAGCATTTCGACCCTCCAGCCTCCTGCAGGGCTGAGCCATCAGAGCAGATGTACAGTAAGCATATTAGTGTTTGTCTCAACAGGAGAGCTGTGCTACTGACCTTCATTGTCATCCCCAACTAGAAACGGACATGGCAGCCATCCGTACTTTGTACTCCGATGCCGCTGTCTCTGTTCGGTAAAAAGAAGTTAATGGCTTCTTAAAACTGAAACGATGTCTGCTGGTTCTTCCTTAAATGTTCCTGTTTTTTCCTCTGTTAGTGAATACCCATCAATTGATAGCGTGGATGTTGAGCTGAACATTACCCCCAACATTACACATGTAAGTTCAATTCTCTTTTGATAATAAAGCCTTTAAATAGATTTTCAATTAAATGATTTATAACCTATATGTCAGACCTTTCTTATAATTGCAGAACAGATTTTCTGATAGATTCAAGTTGAGAGTCTGGCTGGACCCCCACATATTAGTATAACTTTTTAAACAGAAATTGAACATCATACCGAATCTAAATTTAGAAGATATAGATATTGGTTTCCTTTGTCAACTTAATGCTGTTAAAAGAGTTAGGGGGAACATATAAAAGATGTCAAGGTGGGGGTGGAGGATGGACATGACACAAATGCAGACACAAAAACTTACTTGGTTACTTGAAGGTTTAATAAAAGTTCAACCCAAGCAAAAATCTAAAAAAAAAACATAAATACACAAAAATGCTGGAAACCTGGAATACTCACAACAAGAAGGGGACAAAGTAATGATTACAAACCAGCAAAGAGTGACTGAACAGGAGGAGGATATATGGGAGGGAGAAACAAAGACCAGGCTAATTAGCAGATTGGGAGCAGGTGTGAACAGAGGAGCCCGGAAGAGAGCTAGGGAAAAGGAGACTGACACAAGAGGGCAAAAAGGAAATATCTAAGAACTATAATATAATCAAAAATAACTAGAACACAAAAATGGAAAAAAGACCAAAGAAAACTCAGAGATAAAACTTGAATGGAACCATAACAAAAGAAACAACATAAGAGAATCCAACAACCTGCTGCTATTAAACTGCTCCTTTAGCATCTATGGGGAAACCTGGGGGGGGGACCATCACAGAATACATTCTATTTTACTATTTTAAAGGAAAAGTCAATAATCAATGGATCATTATTTTTACCTAAAACCAATATGTTCGCTGTGATTTAATGAATTTAGCGTTAATCAATAAAACAATTAAAATAATAATTTTTGTCGCGATCACTGAGTTTGGGAGCGGCCATTTTTGCCCAAATATAGTAAAACCTTGTCAAAATTTGTTTGTGAATTATTGACCTAAAAGCAGAGGCAGGAAGGCAGAGGTGAATTTATAGTAGATTTAATGATGAGTACTGAAAACAAAGTCCGAGAGCAAAACAAGGAACCTGGGGCCTGTTTCAGAAAGGAGGTTAAGTGAAAACTCTGAGTTTGTTAACGCTGAAATGAGGGAAACTCTGGGTTTTCTGTTACAGAAAGGGAGGTAAGTTAAACCTGAGAAAGCAGAGTAAGTCAAGCCCGTTTCTGAAAGAGAGGTAACTTATACTCAGAGTCAGTTACCATGGGAATTTACTCTGTGAACCTAACCTGGTCGGGAGCAGGTTTTCTTCAGAAAATCCAGAGTTTATTTTGGTCTCCTCCCCTTTTTTAAAGAGGAAGTGGTGTTTAAACACCTCATTGATTCTTTGGGGACATACAGTATTCATTGCACACATTTCAGTCACGTAGAGCGCATCAAAGGGAATGAAATGGCATGTCCTTTTATGGATGATCCTGTTTGTCAAGCCAGGTAGCTACTCTACTCCCATGATTTGCTCAAGGCTTACCTGCTTGAAGTATGTTTTTATATTTCATTTTCAGCTGCTGCCATGTTCTTTTGATGCCTGCAGGATTGCACCTATCCATGAAAACTAAATTAGGTTTAATAAAATACTGTTCTTCCAGTTTCACCTCTGATATTATAACAGTTGGGTAAGTTACTCTAAAATAGTTCTTAATTACTAACTACAAATTTTATCTTCAACAAGTCTAATTAGATTAATGTAATAATTACTGTCTCTAGAAAGTATTGGTCTACTTACTAATTTGTTTTACTTACTTATTAATTACTTTCTAAATCCCAAATCAACCTCAACCACTTGAACAATACAAGGAGAGACAAGAAACTGCACTTCTAATGCTTTCAAATAAACAATATTCAATTGCATGAATTAATCTTAAATTGACCAAAGTGTGTAACTAGAGGGAGAAAGTTCAAATCAAAATATACCTTTTAAAATTTGATATTAAATCCACTATTGTTTTATAGTCTTTAATTTATTACAGTATTTATATGACTTAAGTAACTTAATTCATTACACCCAACACTGTATAAAAGTAATTAAAATGTAAACTTACACATTGACTCGAGCAGCTATTTTCACCCAAGCTAACTCTCTCTCCTTCGCCGCTGCAGCCGTGTTGCTTTTTTTTAAAATACATGTTCAAATTCTGCATATGCTTGCATAAGCACATCCAGTTCTGCTGGTGAGAAATATGCACACCTTTTTTTGTCTGACGCTGTTGCCATGGTGACTCGTAATATCTGTGCTCCATTGATAATGGCTTTTTATAGTTGTGGTGCACACGCTTAACTCAGAGTCAGTCAATTTAGAGTTGATTGAACTAACTCATTTCAGCTGTTCTGAAACCCAAAATTCAGAGTTTCCAATCTCAGGATAAGTCAACTCAGAGTTCAAGTTTTAACTCAGAGTTGGTTGAACTTCCTTATTGAAACAGGCCCCAGGAGTCCAAAAAAATTCAAAAACACAAGTCAAACGTTACCAAAAACCATGGAGTCAGGAGGGGAATAACTGTAACCAGGAGGAAGGCTCAGAGAGACAAGTAGGAGGTAGACTGAAGAGGTTAGACCCAGCAAAGAAGAAGAGAACAGAGAGAGTATTTGTAGGAGACTGAAACAAAGAGAGGGTTAACGAGCAGATTAGGAGCAGGTGTGAGCAGAGCAGAAACAAGAAAGGAGCAAGAGAAAAATGGAGAACTCAAGAGGGCAGCAGAGGGCAACAAATGAAAAACCTGGAAGACTGGAAATAACAACGAAATAATAATAATTAAACCACTAGGACTATAAAACATGGAGACTCAAAAGAAAACATAACAGAACCAAGACTAGGACAGTAACTGAGAAAAAAAAACAAAGAAGACAATAAACTAAGAATTAAACCATAAATTCTAGGAAACAAGGAGAAAAGCAAAACTGGAAACTCAAAAGAAAAACATGACAGAAGACAGAAACCTAATACACCTCCCTCCTGCCATCTTCCAGCAGTGACGTCACGGTGCGGTAAGCCTAGCACCATTCTCCCCGCTTTCCAAGCTAAATCAATGGGAACTACTAGACACATCTGCAATCAACAACAATTATTGAAGATTTCCAGAGGACTTCACCATTGAAATTCACCAGAGCTATAGTGAAACTGACAATGCCCACGTGCATGGCAGCTGGATGCTGGAATACATCGGGTGAAAGTGGAAAAAAAAAGTTATTCCACCTTTCTGATTCCTGATCCTCCACGGACGGGTTGGTCGTTGGATCGCCAACTTGAAGAGGGAGGATTTGCCATGGAACTTCTGGCCAGAGAAAAAACCCGTAATATGTAGCCAACATTTGGAAGAAGAATGTTTTCAAGATGACTTGGATAATAGCGCGTTGTGACAAACACCAGATACAGCACTGGGACTTGATCAACAGCCGATACCGCACCGTGACGTCACAAACCAGTAGGTGGCAGTAGTGTTCTTTGATAAATATGGATGCCTCCAGCATGGGCGGTTCTAGACAGGGGCCAACAGGGGCCTGTGCCCCTGTAGCTCATGTCTTGGCCCCTGTTATGGCCCCTGTACCAAAGACATAATACTGGATCTGCGCTGGAACAGACAGGGTCTTTTGGATCTATTTCTTTTCTTTTTTCTAAAATGTATTTTTATTTTACAAATTCTGTTTTACTAATTATTTAAAAACAACAAGGCGATAGCTTCAGTGGGATTGAAATAGAATCCAAGTTTTCATCTGCTAAATTATTTTTTTCAAAACAAATAAAAAAAAAAACTAATTTTTACAGCTGAATTTAACAGTTTTTCTTGAGTTCTAATTCAGATTTTACAGAAAACGTACTTTTTACTTATATTAAGTCAAAAATATGTAAAAATCCTAAATATATTGACATAATAAGACATAGAATTTTAATTAAACCTAATTGAATAAAAAAAAATGTCTCTTCATTTCATGCTTTTCTGGGCCACCATGAAAAAATGCTGGCCCCCTCCTGGCCCCCTGGTACATTTGGTCTAGAACCGCCACTGGCCTCCAGTAAAGCACATTCAGATGCAAATTACTCTGAATTAAAAACACTGATCATTTATTGAACAGGATGGAAAAATTTCATATTTAAAGCACTTTAATAAGTTTGAATTCTGAATATTAATTATAATTAAAAAAACAACAAATATAATAATAATGGAATAATAAAAGGGTGCTCTCATCTCAAATGACTTTTATTACTATTAAGATTATTTGATAAACTTAACTGTTTCTCTTAGGATTTTTTTTATACCAGTAATATTAGATTGGATATTCGGCTGTTGATGTTTATCTGCTGCTTTAGAGGGAAAGTAGCTTCAGCCTTAAACAAACAAAGAAGTTGTGATCAGACTGGAAGTTTTAGAGCATTCTTACTTCTTTCTCTCCCAAACAGTACAGAAAGCCGACGTAGAGAAAACCCCTGGAGACACTGCATTCATTGTGTTGATAGATTTCCGTTTCAATCTGACCTCAGTGTTTGGTGTCTCCAGGTGGGAGTAGCTAAAGCCTGGAGGATTAATCCATCAGAGCCGATCGTCATCCGACTTCACTTCTCCCCGTCTCAGTATCTGGATGGACCTGGTGAGCCCCTGGACCTAGTATACAGAGGTGTCCAGTAATGACCTACAAATACGTCATTACTTTATTTATAGGTATAGGGAAGGATTTTCACCAATTTTTTTAAAGACACGCCCCTCCACGTAAAAAAAAAGCAAAACTTACATGCACAACCTCTACCTGCTCCTGAGAGGGAAAGTCTATTAAACGTGTACGAGAGCGTGCACAAGCCCATTTCTCCTCGTGAACGCTCTGTTTAAAATTTGCTGTTTGCATCGGTCATACAACCTTACTTTCCAAAAAAATATGTGCAATTTTTCCACTATGTTAGACTCACCTCCGGTAAGTGATAATGGGGACGAGCACGTAGGATGGCCTTACTTAAACATATCACCAGAATGATTGACAATTAGGAGGACCAATTATTTTGATGATCCACCGGGAAAAAAAACATTGTCCACTATACCTTTAAGTAGAAATTTTTACTTCTACTCCTTAGATTCTTTTGCAATTATCTCTTCTTTCTACCCCTTATATTTTAAAAATAGACTTCTTAGGTTTGCTTCATGGTCTTTTAGTATTTAAAAAACATAAAAATCATTTCCTTTATCCGGACAATTTCTTTGTCTGAAATTTGTTGTTCACCACATACCAAAATAAAAAAAATATTTTGGTAATAAGAATATTAAGTCTAAGTAAGTTATCATCCAGAATTGGAGAAAATGTTCCTTTAATAGAGGGGTGTGAAGGAAACCATCTATGTTAAGAAAGACAAAACAACTCTAAGCTGAAGTGGTGGACTCAGATTTCAGCTTTCAAAAACCTACAATGCAGCAATTGCTTTAATTCCTTCCCTCTATCATTGCAACCCCCACCCCATTATAGGGAACCAGAGCACCTCACCTCTTGAACCAGGCCAAAAATTCCCTTTAACGACCCCCTTTCAGAGACATAGACAGGTTTCAGGTATTATAGGCTAACAAAGAAAAAAAACCGACCCCAATTCAAAATTCGTCAGGTTCAATTAGCGTGTTTCTAAACCAAAACAAGGCTCTGTTTTGGTCCAGTCTATAAAGACTAGAACTCAAGGCTATTTCTGACATTTTGAATTGAAAAAGCTTCCTGGATGGGAAGAGAAATGTCTTCAAACTTGGAAAATGGATTGTTCTTTAACTTTTTGGAACTCCTTTAATAAGGCAGTGCAGTAAAAATTCTGTCCTTAACATTTTTTTTCCTGCATTACTTTTACTTTCATACTTTAATTGGTTTTACAAATTGAACTTTTACTCTTTTACTGGAGTAAAAAGCTACAACTGATCCTCTACTTCTACAAAAGTGTTTTGAAACATGAGATTTATACTTCGACTGGAGTATTAAACATTTATACTTTTGACACCTTTGTTAGTATACAGACAAAAATCCAACATCTGAGGGATCAATGTTTCTCCCCACAGTGCCCTCTGTGGAAGTCTTTCAACCATCGAATAGTGAGGATACGTTCAGTGTAGGAAGGCAACTGAAAAAGTGAGTTTTACCGCTGTGATTCCTGGCGATGAATCATGAAGTGGTTAATTGATCGTTTTTTGGTGACTAAGTCATGTTTGCTTGCTAGTATTCTTACAGTCTTCATAGCTCAGGAGTGGAAACACCTGACAAACTGCCCTGTTGTCCAGAAAAGGAGCAAACACAACTGGTTGAGACCCAGTGGGACCATCAAGAAGTTCAGCTCTCGATTTAGTTTATGGTTACCACCACCGAGGTACGACAAAGCTTTGCAAATATCTGTTTTAATTAGGATTGGATGGACAGGCTATTTATTTTTTCATTATAATCAGGTTTTTTCATTATAATCAGGTCAAATGAGATCCAGCAACTGTCTGGCAAAGACAGGAAAGCAAGAAGACAGAATCATTTTACAAACCAAACGACTTCTTACAACATCAAGAACCCAACAGGAGAACTGTTTACATACACAGCTGGAGGAAAGGTTTGGACTTTCTCTGATCAAAATGATTCATGCCCATGCTTTTTACTTTTTACTCATTCTATTTATCAAAGATTTTTATCTCAAACTGATATTTTTTGTGATTTGGATGGTTTCAGAAATGTGCTTTCTTTAAATAAGAAGACAGAAACATTTCATTTTCATTTCATTTCATATCAATAAAATTGTGTAAATAATAACTTACCAACATTTTGTCGGTGTTGCTAAATTTCAGATAACTGTCTGCAACTTTTCCATGTCTGCCATCTTTCAATATATGCATTGTCATCAGATTTGTTGGTCCAAAAATGTCTCAGGAGCTTCTGTCAGATTTGGGTTCTGAAAGCAGTAAATTAACACAAACTTTTTCCCCCAGAAAGTGATGGTTTCAGCAGTCAAATCTTCAGCACATCTGAGCCCCAAACAGCTGGTGGAGCTGCTGTTCACCTCCCAGGCCATCAGACATTGTAAAAGCACCCCCACCCTGCAACATGGCTTCCTGGTTCAGGTAAGGCGGGGTTCTGTTGACGCTAGGGTGACTGAAATATGTGATCTTGCAAGTGTCCATGAGTAATTTTCCTGCAGTGTTTAGACCAGAGGTGATGGATTAGAGGACCGCGGTCCAGATCCAGACCCAACCTGATTTAAAACATTTATAGATTACTGCATGTTGTCTGACGACAGTGTCTACCTTCACTTGCGCCGCTTCTGTTAAAGGTATACTATGCAACCGGTGTTTATTTTCCAGCGAGGCTCCCCCCAGAGGGCGAAAGTAAAAGTGCACTGTCGTAAATATGCTCAGCTGTTCTCCTGGTTTCTCCGTCAAGCCAGGCGCGGTTGTTTTGAGCTTAGCAGACAGGCGAACGCAACAAATGACTAACACAGTGAAAGTATGAACATGCACACAGAGAGAGAGAAACCATTCCAATGTTACTTACAATCGCATCAGCAGAAACGCGAGGTCCGCGTCAGCCTTGCAGCCTTCTTTTTATTTTAGCTCTCGCCATTCGGAAAAAGCTTGCCCGATGTTCACCCGTGTACGACTCCTCTCTCTGTCCGGAGCCCTTTTCCTCTTTCTTGCCTGCTCCGACATGGGCTTTCGCTGTTTTCACGCTGGTTCCGCCATGATAACTGCAGAAAGATTGCCACTATGCTAGCAACGCGCATGCTTTTAACTGGGGGTGTGTAGCAGTTCTCGCCGTAAAGCAAGACCGACTCTCGCGAGACTTCTGAGCCTGTGGGTGCGGGTCGGTGCTCCTGCAATTGCAAGTGCGGTATTTCCCCCACAGACCACCAGGGCGGCCGGGAATACCTTTGTTCAACCTGAAATGACTCATTTAATCATCCAAAACGTTATGGAACACATTAATTAACTGAAAAATGTTGCATAGTATGCCTTTAATACGGTAAAGCCCTGCGGAGCGTCCGGCTCCAGGCTGCACGTGATCCAAATGAGCCAATGAGCTGTCAGTCTGGGTTGCTGCTGCTGCTACTTTTAGACCCAGCAGGCAAACCTGTGGCAAGCCGGGCGATGGGAAAGAAGGAGAAGACCATGAGAAAAAGAGAGCAGAGAAAGTGTGGACTGCTGGAAGAACTGCGGTGAACTGGTGAAAGAAAAGTGAAATGGCGTGCTCAAAGATGACCCTGCACATTTAGAGGATGTTTGGCTCAACCTGCTGCTGTGAAGCAGGATTCTCCACCATGAACAGAATCAACAATAAATCTGGATCCAGGCTCAAAATGAGCTCCTTGATATGTGCTTGAGAATGGCTTAGTCTCCGGTTAAACCCAGGTTTAAAGCCTTGCAGGGCAGCCTAAAGCCCACTGCCAACATTAAGACAGAAAATAGAAAGAAAAACTGTCAGTTCAGGTGTTTTATAAAAAAAAAAAAGTGAGTCAGGAAATTGTCTATTATACCAAACTGAAATATTGTTGTTCTCTATTTCAAAAACACTTTAGATTTTAAATTTTTTTAGTTATTTAAAAATTCGATGTATAACATGGATGCATAAACACCTGCATTTTATTTCAGTTATAAATTCTGTTTAAAGTAACAGATTATAATTAAAAATGTCTCCGGACCTTTACTGGTTGATGATTTTCTTTATTCGAACCCTGCTGATTTTTAATAGGTTACCCCTGTTTTAGAAAATCCATGTTCAAAGACTATGCAACAGAGAGTTCTAATGCATTGGTCTTGGAGGAAAAAAAAAATCCAAGACTGATAAATCTGAAGGAGTATAATAAATATGTTTGAAAGTATTGAAATCTGTTCTAAAAAGTTATATAAACATTGGAAAAAAATGACTGATGATATTACTGTCACTTGTTTTGCATCTTAATATTTGAAAGGTACACAGATGTAGGTTTAATGTCACTGTTTGAAATTTACGGAAATGTCTCTTCTGAGAGACAGAAACATTTTGAAGTCCAAACTTGACCCTGATAAAGAATCATTGCAGGTAGCTGAAGATTATGGTAATGGCATGGAGGCCTTCCATCCTTAAAAAATATAAAAGAAATATCAACAATACCAGAGAAAACCTTCAATAAGTCCAGACCATCGCAGGGCAACACAAAGACAAACAACCATTCACACCTAAGGACAATTTAGAGAAGCCAATTAACCAAACAGTCATGTTTTTTGGACTGTGGGAGGAAGCCGGAGTACCCGGAGAGAACCCAAACATACTCAGGGAGAACATGCAAACTCCATGGAGAAAGACCACAGACCGGGAGTTGAACCCAGAACCTTCTTGCTGCAAGGCAGCAGTGCTAGCCACTGTTTGTTCACCCTACATTTTTTAATTAATCTAAAATCTAAAATGAATGTGATTTAATCTTATAACATCTTGTATTCCAGCAGATATGTAGTACTGTGTTAAAATAAAAAAATATATATTTGAAACAGACAGATTTTAATAAGTCAGTCATGATTATGTCATGAGAATTGATGGAAGATGCAGGAATCTGGTTTGAGTAATGAGTCAACGCTAAGTGTGACGTCCACCAGGAGACCACACAAGGATTTTCTTTAAAGTGAAAATTTAATTTATTAAATTATACTAAAGAAACAATACCTGAAAAGGAATAAATAAAATGGGGTATAGGAAATCGCTTAATGCAAAACCAATAACTAAACAGAAATAAGCAAATGCAACCAAACCTAACAAAACCCAACCTTAGGACAGGATACAAACCAAACCAAACGGGGTTCTGAGGAGGTAAGAGAGAGAAGCCTCCTGTCTGCTCCTTGCATGACAGCTTTTAAAGCAGACGAGGACCAATTAGGGCAAAACAGATCACCTGCAGAAGGCCTGCATCCAGAACCCTGCAAGGAAAAGTGCAGAAACCCACTGCAGCCGTAACACTAAGTAATAAAAAACGAATCAAATCCAACCAGACAATAAAACCAGAAGCCACCTGCTACGTCTTGGGAGGAAAAACTGTGAGCAGAAACAGAAGAAACAGCTTATTATCTGTATAAAACTTGGTGATTTAAGAGCAAAATAAGGAAAGCAACTGAGGACATCAACAGATCATCACTGGAACTGCAAGCAAAAAAATTCAAAAGTCCTAAATAGAGACACAAGAAAAAACCAAGATGGTATTTACACATATATATGTTGAATGATGATAGGTTGAGTTCATAGTAAAAAATGTAAAAAATTCTAATGTGAAAATATTCAATCTTGGTTATTTTCCACAACAAAAATTCTATTTTCTTACTTTTATCCTCAGTTATTTTTTCTTTATTTACAGGAAAAAAATGAGAAAACCAGGGAAACATTTAGAAATACCAAGACAAGCCTTTTTATTTAGCAACAACACGCCTCAATGGTTTGGCAATAATAAAAACAGATCTGTATTTTCTGTGCGTACGCAGATAATGAGGTATGCTGAGCAGAGAATCCCCACACTGAATGAATACTGCGTTGTCTGTGATGAACGCCATGTTTTCCAAAATGGGCCCATGCTGAAGGTACGACTCCATACAAAGCACCAGGATGGGGGATGAGCATGTGTGTATTTACTGGAGATTCTGCTTTTCTCAGACTGCTGTTTGCACACGGGAGCTGTGCGTATTTTCCTTTCACACACTCGGAGTTATGTCTGCAGCAACAGAAGAGGTTGCCACCGGTGCAGAGGTCAGCAACGCTTTCATGTGCTGTTGTAGTGATTATAGAGTTTAGCATCCCACTAATGTCTGCTGTTACAGGTGATTGACCTGCTGGTGGCCATGTGCAGAGCTGCTCTTCTGTCATCACGCAAAAGCATCATATTTGAACCGTATCCCTCCGTTGTTGACCCATGCAACCCCAAAACTCTGGCCTTCAATCCTAAGGTATCGTCTGTGAGCTTCTAACCTCATTTTCTAAGAAACTGTTACATTTTTACCCATATATTAAATTACCATTGCTTTTTCTGACAGAGAAAGAGCTTTAAACGGCTGCAGAAAGCTCTGGATGGCGTGCTGCTAGTCAGGAAGATGGCTCAGGTGACTTAATATTTAAAAAAAAACATTAACATGTTTTTGTACTGCGTACTTATGAGGCGCAGTTTATAAAGTTAAGCAGTATTGTTTTTTTAAATAAATATTTAGCTCCAAACTAAATATTTATTTTGGAGCTAAACATTTATTTAACAAACTACACTGGAAAAACGATCTATAAACAAGTTAAAATTTCCTGAATTAAGTGTATTTACCCTTAATTTGAGCAGGTCAATTAGATATTTTGCCAATGGAATGAGTATTTTTACTCTTCAAATAAGATATTTAGATAATATGCAATTAAAATAAGACAATGCAACAGTGTTTTCCTATTTTAAGCGTAAATTGTCTTGTTCCATTGGCAAAATGTCTCTTTTTACCTCCTCAATCCAAGAAAAAATGCACTTATGTGAAGAAAAAAATGTTTTTTTCCAGTGTAGATATTTAGTTTGTTAAATAATATATTTAGTTTGGAGCTAAATATTTATATAACAAACAAAATATTTAGTTTTTTAAATAAATATTTAGTTTCGAGCTACATATTTATTTAACAAAGTAAATATTTATTTTGCAGCGAAATATTTTGTTTGCAAATTAAATATTAAGTATCCAAATTAAATATTTATTTTTCAAACTAAAGTTTGAAACTTTAGTTATTAAAATAAGTATTTAAATAATATTAAAATAATATTTAACAAAGTAATGTTTGTATAAATGAATGAATGACATGGTGAAAAAAATGACTTGGAATAAAATAAACCCCTTATTTTTCTCTTAAAAAACATTGTTCCTTATGTTTGACTGCTTAACTTCACTGCAAAAACAATCTAAAAATTAGTAAAAATGTCTTTAATTAAGTGTATTTACCCTTAATTTGAGTAGATAAATAAGATGATTTGCTAATGGAATGAGTATTTTTACTCTTTAAATAAGATAATTAGATAATATGCACTTGCAATAAGACAATGCAGTTGTGTTTTCTTATTTTAAATGTAAATTGTCTTGTTCCATTGGCAAAGTCTCTCTTTTATCTCTTCAATTCAAGAACAAATGCACTAATTGTAAGAAGAAATTACTTATCTAGATTTTGTTTTTTTCCAGTGTTTACAAACGGCGCCCCATACGTACCGCAGGCTACATCAAAAGGGTTTAACTTGATAGCTTTCTTTCACATTCAGGGTCCATATTCTGAGATAAAGAAGCAGATGGACAAGATAGACCCCCTCGCTCATCCTTTACTACAATGGTGGGTTAAACAGGCATTTGAAGAGCTTTAAATATCATGTATTAAAGGTTTAGTGGAGGATGTTCTTTTTCCGGGTGGATCATCAAAACAATTGGTCCTCCTAATTGTCAATCATTCTGGTGATATGTTTACGTAAGGCCGTCCTACGCCCTCTTCCCCATTTTCACTTACCGGTGGTGAGTCTGACATAGTGGAAAAATGCAAATATTCTTTTGGAAAGTAAGCTTGTATGAGCGATGCAAACAGCGATTTAAACAGAGCGTGCACAAGGAGAAATGGGCTCATGCACGCCCTAACGCGTTAAAAAAACGTCCGGTCAGCAAGGAATTATCAATGGATCATTATTTCTACCTAAGACTAAAATGTTCGTGGTGATTTAATGAATTTAGCGTTAATCAGTAAAAAATTAAAACAATAATTTTCATCGCGATCACTGAGTCTGGGAGCGGCCATTTTTGCCCAAATATAGTAGCCCCTCCCTCCTGCCATCTTCCAGCAGTGACGTCACGGTGCGGTAAGCCTAGCGCCATTCTCCCCGCTTTCCAAGCTAAATCAATGGGAACTACTAGACACATCTGCAATCAACAACAATTATTGAAGATTTCCAGAGGACTTCACCATTGAAATTCACCAGATCTATAGTGAAACTGACAATGCCCACGTGCATGGCAGCTGGATGCTGGAATACATCGAGTAAAAGGGAAAAAATATATATATTTCACCTTCGAGTTTCATCGAAGTTCTGGGCAGAAGGGATGTGTATGTGCATTTTTTTTTTAAGTGGAGAGGGCAGGTTGTTTCAAAAATGTGCAAAACTCCTCCACTAAACCTTTAACTGAAATTTTTTTTAAACATTTTTTATTAAATCTCCAATCATCTCTTACTCTCCTTGTAGGATTTTAGCAAGCAACAGATCCCACATCGTCAAGCTTCCACTCAACAAGGTATGTGAATGGATCATCCACAAGGGGCTCCTTAAATGATGTAGTTTAAAAACCACTCTGAATATTTGTCCATTTAATTGTCTTATTTAGGTCTTTGGATGCAATTAACTCCTGAAAATCTGAGATTAGGGAACAAACATGTGATAAAAACACTAGTTCTCCATTTTGTTAGGTTTTGTGGACATTTGTTTAGGCACAGCTCTCCTTTCCTCCCACTGGAGCCATTTAATGGATCTTATGGTTTAGACTTTGACTAAGCCATTTTCACACATCAATCATTTTCTGTTTCAACCATCCAGCAGTAGATTAGACCTCATGATGACCTTTTTCTGGATGAGTTTTAGCAGTCGAACGGATAACCTTACATTTAGAATATCCAAGGTGGGCGAGAATCAACAAAGCCTTCTTTATGGTCACATCTGATGTTTTATAATCTTGAGTTAACACATGTCTGTATGAAAAAATTGAGAGTTCCACCTTTATGGAGATCAGGTTCAACTGATCAAGTTCATCAGTAATACATGACAGCTAATGTCCCTCCTATATTGAATAAAAAAAAACAAATACATTCTAAACGGTTTTGTAATTCATGGGAGACGCTATTTTTCCCCTGAATTTTTTTCAACATAATTCCAAATACATTCTTGATGGTCTAAAAATTCTGCATACGCTGTAAAAACTATGCAGAAATAAGTAAAAAAATTATTGAATTAAGTATACACTCACCGGCCACTTTATTAGGTACACCTGTCCAACTGCTCGTTAACACTTAATTTCTAAGCAGCCAATCACATGGCGGCAACTCAGTGCATTTAGGCATGTAGACATGGTCAAGACAATCTCCTGCAGTTCAAACCGAGCATCAGTATAGGGAAGAAAGGTGATTTGAGTGACTTTGAACGTGGCATGATTGTTGGTGCCAGAAGGGCTGGTCTGAGTATTTCAGAAACTGCTGATCTACTGGGATTTTCATGCACAACCATCTCTAGGGTTTACAGAGAATGGTCCGAAAAAGAAAAAACATCCAGTGAGCGGCAGTTCTGTGGGCGGAAATGCCTTGTTGATGCAAGAGGTCAGAGGAGAATGGCCAGACTGGTTGGAGCTGATAGAAGGGCAACAGTGACTCAAATAACCACCCGTTACAACCAAGGTGGGCAGAAGAGCATCTCTGAACGCACAGTACGTCGAACTTTGAGGCAGATGGGCTACAGCAGCAGAAGACCACACCGGGTGCCACTCCTTTCAGCTAAGAACAGGAAACTGAGGCTACAATTTGCACAAGCTCATCGAAATTGGACAATAAAAGATTGGAAAAACGTTGCCTGGTCTGATGAGTCTTGATTTCTGCTGCGACATTCAGATGGTAGGGTCAGAATTTGGTGTCTACAACATGAAAGCATGGATCCATCCTGCCTTGTATCAACGGTTCAGGCTGATGGTGGTGGTGTCATGGTGTGGGGAATATTTTCTTGGCACTCTTTGGGCCCCTTGGTACCAATTGAGCATTGTTGCAACGCCACAGCCTACCTGAGTATTGTTGCTGACCATGTCCATCCCTTTATGACCACAATGTACCCAACTTCTGATGGCTACTTTCAGCAGGATAATGCGCCATGTCATAAAGCTGGAATCATCTCAGACTGGTTTCTTGAACATGACAATGAGTTCACTGTACTCAAATGGCCTCCACAGTCACCAGATCTCAATCCAATAGAGCATCTTTGGGATGTGGTGGAACGGGAGATTCGCATCATGGATGTGCAGCCGACAAATCTGCGGCAACTGTGTGATGCCATCATGTCAATATGGACCAAACTCCCTGAGGAATGCTTCCAGCACCTTGTTGAATCTATGCCACCAAGAATTGAGGCAGTTCTGAAGGCAAAAGGGGGTCCAACCCGTTACTAGCATGGGGTACCTAATAAAGTGGCCGGTGAGTGTATTTAGCCTTAATCTGAGCAGGTACATAAGATGATTTGCTAATTGAATGAGTATTTTTACTCTTAGAATAAGATAATTAGATAATATGCATTGTAATAAGACAAAGCAATTGTTTTTTTCTTATTATACGGTAAATGTAAATTGTCTTGTTCCATTGTCTCACATATCTTCTCAATTCAAGAAAAAATGCATTGATTTTAAGAATTTAGTATCTAAATTAAGTATTTAGATTTAATTTGTTTGCAGTGTACAAAGCCTTGGATAATTTTTCAAAAAATAAAATGTGTGAAATTGAACATTTATTCATCCTTAATCTCAAACATGGGGATCTGCACCCCCAATGTCTTTGCATATTGCTTTCCATGACTGTAGCCTGCAATTCTTAAAATTTTTTATTCAACTTTCTCTCTCCTATAATTCTTACTCCAGCGACTGAAGTTTATGTGCACGCCCCATCAGTTCCTGCTGGTCAGCGCACCTCCATCTAAAGAGATCCGCTTTCAAACGGCCAGAAAACTTTACGGCAGCACTTTTGCCTTCCAGTGAGTAAGATCTAAGCTACATTCCCACCAACAAATCTACAACGCCACATTTTTAAAACGTTGCTCTTTGTTTCAGCGGTTCTCACATTGAAAACTGGCACTCTATTTTAAGAAGAGGCCTCATCAATGCATCATATACAAAATTACAGGTACATTTTAAAGCGGTTTTAGTTCATTTAAAGCCCATCTAGAGCAGCCAAACCTCAGGTTGAGATAACTTATTTTGCTCTTTTAAAGCTTCATGGAGCCGCTTATGGGAAAGGAATATATCTGAGTCCCATTTCAAACATATCTTTCGGATATTCTGGTGAGAGTTCACACTTCAGAGCTTTTTTTTTCTTAATCTTTGTGGTTAGTGTGCAGTGATCATAAGACAATGTTCTGTTATCTCTGTGGTATCTCAGACATGGGTAAAGGTCAACACCAGATACCGACCAGAGATGAACTAATTGCAAAATACAACCGAATTAATATAATAAAACAGGTTAGGTTAATCGCATTCAGTATTTGGTGCAATAAAGCATTTCCTGTTTCTTATTTCTTTTCCTGTATCTTTGTTTCAGGAAGAAGCAGGGCAACCAAGGTTTCTGCAAAGCGCCAACCTGAGCTGCATTGCACTCTGTGAAGGTGAGCAGTTACACAGCGGCGGCTCTTCAGCGTCATATTTTGTCTAACAGAGTTGTCATTTTGTCTTAGTCGTTACTTCAAAGGCCCTTCAGAAGCATGGGAACGTTTGGGTTTGTCCGGTGTCGGACCATGTGTGCACACGTTTCCTGTTTGTGTGAGTAAAACGCCCGACAGTGTGTATTTCAGTATAAAATGTGTTGCAAACAGCTGTTTGATATCTCACCGCGGTTTGCCTGGAGCAGGTATGAAAACGGTCAGGTGGGAGATGTGCACATCAACTCGCAAGACGCACAAATCCAGAGGGAAATTTTACAGGCGACTGGATCCGAGCCCTGCTGAGAACACCAGTGCACTTTCCTGCAAGTGTATCAATGAACATTTACTGGAAACCAGTTTAGCTTTCATATTTTTAGGCTGTAATTAACAACTATTGTTCATCATCAGTTATATTTTTTTACTGTATTTCATTACAATGATTGCCTGATCCAATTTGGGTTGTTTTATATTAAAGCTAATTTTCTTTAACTTAAATGTCCACTTGTTTGCTCATTATTCGAACAGTTGTGAAATCCCATAAAATGTTGATGAAACCCCAGACGGCCGCTCACAATGAGCCTGGTTCTGCTGGAGGTTTCTTCCTGTTCAAAGGGAGTTTTTCCTCTCCACTGTCGCTACAAGCATGCTTAATGTGAGGGATTGCTGAAGAGTCAATGAGTCGATGCAATCAGCTTGTTTTCCTTAGATAGAAAACTTTGAATCAATCTGACTGGATGTTCTAGTTGAACTGGAAAGTGCCTTGGGATGACATGTGTTGCTAATTGGCGCTATAGAAATAAACTGAATTGAATTGAGACACGTTTTTATCCTGGAAAAAAAAAACACAGGTAGAATCAGGTCCTAACCAGTGTTGGGCACATTACTTTGAAAAAGTAATTAGTTATAGTTACTAGTTACTTCTCCCAAAAAGTAACTGAGTTACTCCACAATAAAAGTAACTAGTTAGTAGTAAAAGTAACTATTGCGTTACTTTTGTGAGTGTATGAAATTAATAACTGGGGATGTCTAATTCTGAAATCCTGTGTTTGGGTTGTTATAGATACTGCAACATGTAGCTATATCCATCTATCTATTCCATCCATCCATCCATCCATCCATCCATCCATCCATCCATCCATCCATCCATCCATCCATCCATCCATCCATCCATCCATCCATCCATCCATCTCCCTTTCTCCATATAGGCTAATGATCGTTCATGCTCTCTGTAGTTCCCCTAACGCGCCTTTAGCAAGAACGTGCGTTTCCTGGCACTTGTGCGGTTAATCGCACCGCCGCGCTGTGCGGAAACGCAGCTCGACGTAACACCAGTATTTCCATCTGGAACGCCCCTCTCTCCTGACGCGCGCACGAGTCCTATCATGAAAAAAGGTTAATTGTGCGACCTGAGTAACGTGCAGTAACTGGGTGTCTGCAATTGTAACTGCATTATAGTTACAGTAAGAGTAATCATTTTGATTACTCGTTACTAAAAAAGGTAGCGGCGTTAGTAACGATGTTACTTTCAACGCCGTTAGTCCCATCACTGGTGCTAACACAGCCTTACTTGTAACAGGTGAAATTTTTTTTTAAACAAAACTCTTTAATACCTATAGAGAATGGCCCTGACTAGCGTCCAACATAGATTAAACATTTCTGATAAATGTGAAGAACAAGTGTGTGAGCTAATTCCCATCCATATTCTATAGATCAACATAATCTGTCTGAAATGTTTTCTTTCTAACTTGATGAGTGGCCAATTGAAATGTGCCTCAGGTTAAACCCTCCTGACACAGGAAGCTGTACTTCACTCATCAAACATTCACTTCATTTTGGCTTAAAGTAAGGTACAAATAGAGAGACATATAAAACAATATAATTTTTAGGAACGATAAAACATTATAGAAAATGCTATACACCCTAAATAAAAAATTATGCTTTCGAATACAACATTGCATTGAAATTGCATTAAAATAAGCAATGGGATTAATGCAGAAATTTTAAGTCAGCCCATTATCTGCGACTCCCAACAAAATCCCCTCCAACTTCCAGCCAATGTCCTTCTCCATGTGTGCATATTTTTTTACTCTTGACTCCACCCCTTCACTGAATTACAGGGTCTGACCAGGAGATGGCGCTTCTCTTTAGATCTTAATGTCTACAAATCATGACAGAATATTTTAGTACAAATATTGATGTTTTAAATATTTCCATTAATCACTTACTGTATAAACCTTGACGAGCTGAAGCTGTTATGGTGGCAAAAAGGGGATCAGCATCACAATAAACCCTGCAGATTACAGCTGAATTTCATTCAAGGTCACACGTATGTTATAGAAAAACTCCGGTCAGTAAGGAATAATCAATGGATCATTATCTATAACTAAAACTAATACATTTGCGGCGATTTAATGAATTTAGGGTTAATCAGTAAAAAATTTAAAATTATTTTCATCGCGATCACTGAGTCTGGGAGCGGCCATTTTTGCCCAAATATAGTAACCCCTCCCTCCTGCCATCTTCCAGCAGTGACGTCACGGTGCGGTAAGCCTAGCGCCATTCTCCCCGCTTTCCAAGCTAAATCAATGGGAACTACTAGACACATCTGCAATCAACAACAATTATTGAAGATTTCCAGAGGACTTCACCATTGAAATTCACCAGATCTATAGTGAAACTGACAATGCCCACGTGCATGCCAGCTGGATGCTGGAATACCGTAAAAAAGTTCAAAAAAATCCCCTTGACTTTCAGAATTCAAATGACATTTGAATTGAGAAAGCTTCCTGGAGAGGTGGTGAAATGTCTTCAAATCTTGGAAAGCAAGTCCAGTGGATTTTTTTTTACTTTTACGGAATAACTATGACCTGGATGACTGAGAATCTTCATCAGCACAATGTTGGAATACATCGGGTAAAAGTGAAAAACAAATTTCTTATTCCACCTTTCCGATTCCTGATCCTCCACGGACGGGTTGGTCGTTGGATCGCCAACTTGAAGAGGGAGGATTTGCCATCGAACTTCTGGCCAGAGAAAAAACCCGTAATATGAAGCCAACATTTGGAAGAAGAATGTTTTCAAGATGACTTGGATAATAGCGCGTTGTGACAAACACCAGATACAGCACTGGGTGTGATCAACAGCCGATACCGCACCGTGACGTCACAAACCAGTAGGTGGCAGTAGTGTTCTTTGACAAACATGGATGCCTCCAGTAAAGCACATTCACATGAAAATTACTCTGAATTAAAAACACTCATCATTTATTGAACAGGATTTCATATTCAAAGCACTTAGAAGAAGTTTGAATTCTGAATATGAGTGAACATTTCCTTTAAGACAATACATATGTCAAAAGAGAGTATTGCAAAAAAACATGTATTTAAAAACACAATTTCCAAATAAAAAGCTCAGCCCATGTTTAAGATGTGAATATAATGAGTGGAGGTAAAGGCCATCCTGTGAGGCAGAAACGTTCCACTGAAACAGCCTCCATATGAGCCCTGCAGCTGCCTCCTAACCTTTACAGAACATGGTTTCTTCAGAAAACACTGTTTTCAAATGGATTATCTTATTGTTAAACTTTTTTTTTTGTGTGTGCAGATTTTCAACAGATTTTCAAACCAAATCACAGCAGCTTGAAGGTGTGGTTGTCCTTCTGCATGTCACTCACTAAAAAAGAGGTAGAGGCGATGTAGAAAGCATTTTCTGGGTCACCCCAGCAGGCAACGAAATGAAGAGTGGAGAGCTGTGAAGTTGCTGTTATAGCCCAAAGGAAGACATTTTTCCTGGACCATATGGCCCTCTAAAGATAGAGTGGAGGAAATTTATCTTCAAAACAGCCAGCCTTTTTGTTCTGCAGTAATATCTCTTTATTCCAGTGGTTCACTATCAGCCAAATTGCAGCTGAAGAATGTCAGATGAGACTATCGACTCCAAATCTGCGAAAAAAAGAATTGTTTCAACTACACGCTTTGTTAAATCTCATTAACTCGTGTTCATTCATCCATGTAACCCAAGCAACCACACAGACCGATAAAATCTCTGAGTCCTAAAGCATTGCACAAAACGACAAAATAACAGCTAGACGTTAAATGAGGCAAAAATGTTGCATGTTCCTTTAAGAGCACTATGTCCCTCTCTTCTTGTCTTTCTCTAAGCCTGGTGTGTTTCTTGGCACCAGCTGTCTTCAGTGCTGAAGAGAGCAAGGACATCTTTTCTTTCATGACAGTGGGATTAGGAGGAGAAGTTGCTTCCTTATTCTGCAAGCTATCATTTCAGTGCAAAGACGAAGTAAACCGGACATCATGGAAAGGAGATGTAGAGAAGATGAAGATAAGTAAAAAGTTTGGATAACAAAGCTGCTTTATTTAAGTTTATCAAGAGAAGAAAGCATTTTGCGCTCAGGTCTGAAGGGAAATGGATTTATAAGCATGCAAATGCAGAAAAAAAATCTTATTTATTTTTCTGCTTTCTGAGCAATTATCTTAAAAATAGGTGATCGGAAATGCTGTAGCACCGTGATGGAAGATCCTGCATCTTCATTGTCTTCCTCTATCCACTTTGTGTCTTCACCACCACAACTGCCACAGAGGACCTATCGGAGGATCAGCCGCTCAGAAGAGAGAGCTCCTTTTCCAATCCCCGGCCTTGCTTCTGACATCCTGCACATGCGAGTCAAAGAAGGTAGCAAAATTCGCAATTTACTGCGGTTCGCAACATCTCGCATCCAAGGGGAAGGAGAGGACAGCAGTGCAACAGCAGTGAGACAAGTGGTCTTTACAGGGTTGGGTAGGGGCATTACCAAGACCATCACCTGCGTGGAAATCCTGAAACGTAAAGTGCCAGGGCTGCATCAGGTGTCCAAACTTTGCTACATGAAAGTTAATGAGGTTTGGGAGGGTCCCCAGCAGGAAGTGGCAGGTACAACTGTGGAGAGGACAGTGCCTGCCATCTGCATCCTGCTCTCCAAAGACCCTGTGGATCCCCAGGAGCTCGGCTATCAGCCTCCACAAACCTTCAGCTTTCCCTCAGAGGAAGTGGAGAGACGTGGGGATCTGCTGAGAACAGCTGGCAGGCCGTCCTCATTGCACGCTGCCAAGAGGCTCTGTCTGGATGATTGGACTGGATGTTCCCCCAAAAGCTAGTTTAATTACAGATTTAAAAAAAAAACAATAAAAATACATGTATCTGCTCCTTCTTCATAGGTTTTCCTAAAGAAATAAACTACTATTGTTTATTCCTTATATTTGTTTTAGTTATTATAGTAATAAATTTGTCTACTAATTACACAAATTTTAGTTGCATGTTATGTCTTTTGGTGATCTGTTGCTTAAAAACTGTGTTTCTTGTTATCTTCATTCATATAATTTATTGTCACATTGGTTATAAGTGTTTCTGCATGCTTGTTGACCTGCCTGATATTAAAATTGGAAAATGTGGCGTAACAGTGTTTACATTTTTTTGGCTGTTTTGTGTTTAAAAAATGTCTCCTGTTTGTTTTTAACATGTTTGAAGGAAAATCAGCAGTCAAATTAAGCTGTGCAGCTCTAGGGAATTTAATGTATTCTATTCCGCAAAAGCCGTGTTTTGAAGGGAGCATCACTGCTGCAGGTAAAGTGTCTAAGAAAGGATCAGCACTGGTGGGGGAAAAAACAACAGCATATTTTTCTTTTATTAAAAGCTTTATCATTAACAAAAAATTTAAATGAACAAAATGTGCTTTAGGTAGTGAGATCTTTTTTTGCCAGTTGCACATTAATGAAATATATTGAATTACATAAAAAGGAAATTAAAGATTGTTAAAAGACAACACTGCCTTTGATATTCAGGGCTGAATATTGTTTTTTTGGTTAAATTTGAAATGGTGCTAAATCCATCCATCCATCCATTAACCATCCATCTATCCATCCATCCATCCATCCATTAACCATCCATCCATCCATCCATCCATCCATCCATTAACCATCCATCCATCCATCCATCCATCCATTAACCATCCATCCATCCATGCATCCATCCATCCATCCATTAACCATCCATCTATCCATCCATCCATCCATCCATCCATTAACCATCCATCTATCCATCCATCCATCCATTAACCATCCATCTATCCATCCATCCATCCATCCATCCATCCATCCATCCATTAACCATCCATCCATCCATGCATCCATCCATTAACCATCCATCCATCCATGCATCCATCCATCCATCCATTAACCATCCATCCATCCATGCATCCATCCATCCATCCATTAACCATCCATCTATCCATCCATCCATCCATCCATCCATTAACCATCCATCTATCCATCCATCCATCCATTAACCATCCATCCATCCATCCATTAACCATCCATCTATCCATCCATCCATCCATTAACCATCCATCCATCCATCCATCCATCCATTAACCATCCATCTATCCATCCATCCATCCATCCATCCATCCATCCATCCATTAACCATCCATCCATCCATCCATCCATCCATTAACCATCCATCTATCCATCCATCCATCCATCCATCCATCCATCCATCCATTAACCATCCATCCATCCATGCATCCATCCATTAACCATCCATCCATCCATGCATCCATCCATCCATCCATTAACCATCCATCCATCCATGCATCCATCCATCCATCCATTAACCATCCATCTATCCATCCATCCATCCATCCATCCATTAACCATCCATCTATCCATCCATCCATCCATTAACCATCCATCCATCCATCCATTAACCATCCATCCATCCATCCATCCATCCATCCATCCATTAACCATCCATCCATCCATCCATTAACCATCCATCTATCCATCCATCCATCCATTAACCATCCATCCATCCATCCATCCATCCATTAACCATCCATCCATCCATGCATCCATCCATCCATCCATTAACCATCCATCTATCCATCCATCCATCCATCCATCCATTAACCATCCATCTATCCATCCATCCATCCATTAACCATCCATCTATCCATCCATCCATCCATCCATCCATCCATTAACCATCCATCCATCCATCCATCCATCCATTAACCATCCATCCATCCATGCATCCATCCATCCATCCATTAACCATCCATCTATCCATCCATCCATCCATCCATCCATTAACCATCCATCTATCCATCCATCCATCCATTAACCATCCATCTATCCATCCATCCATCCATTAACCATCCATCTATCCATCCATCCATCCATCCATCCATTAACCATCCATCCATCCATCCATCCATTAACCATCCATCTATCCATTAACCATCCATCCATCCATCCATCCATCCATCCATCCATTAACCATCCATCCATCTCCATCCATCCATCCATCCATTAACCATCCATCCATCCATCTCCATCCATCCATCCATCCATCCATCCATCCATCCATCCATCC